CATAGTTTTTAAATTCTAGTTTAGTATATATATATATATATGTTACCACATATTAGTTATTCATAGTTTTTAAATTCTAGTTTAGTATATATATATATATATGTTACCACATATTAGTTATTCATGTTTTTAAATTCTAGTTTAGTATATATATTTTTACCACCATATCGTAATTTATAACATTTTCTAAATATTTATTTTTTTACTTTAGGAATTTGTAAATGCCCATTCTCTGCAGCTCATTATTATGATTATATTTTTTGCCAGTTGAATGAATCTAAATCTACTTAATGCTTTATATAATTATATAAATATACAAGTTATGTAATGATAGTATATTTAAATTTTTAAAATGCAATCTTGTGTTATCGTACTGGGTTAATGTTATTGTTTCTTATTATAAGCAGAAAGCTACACAAAGGGCTATCTGTGCTCTGCCCACCACGGGTATCGAAACCCGGTTTCTAGTAGTATAAGTTCTCCCTTTCATCCGTTATAACGTTTCGGTCAGTCCCACTATTCGTTCATAAAAGAGTAGCCCAAGAGTTGGCGTTGGGTGGTGATGACTAGCTGCCTTCCCTCTAGTCTTTCACTGCTAAATTAGGGACGGCTAGCGCAGATAGCCCTCATGTAGCTTTGCGCGAAATTCAAAACAGACAAACAAACAAACAATTTCTTTATATATCTTAAATCATTATTTATTTCTTAATAATGGTATTAACAGAACTTCCTTTAAAAAATTAACACTGAACTATCTGCACAAGTGAGTTAGTTCTTCATTAAACTCAATTACACAGAACTCCCTCAAATAAAACAAACAGTTTGTTTGTAAATAAGCACAAAGGTACACAATGGGCTATCTGTGCTCTGCCCACCACGGATATCGAAACCCGGTTTCTAGCGTTGTAAGTCCGCAGACATACCGCTGTGCTACTGGGAGGTAAAATAAAAAGAATAATGGGCCTGATTTTTAGCTTTCGAAGCACCCAGACTAATCACTGAGACATTGTGGGGAGGGATGGGGAGATATAATAATAGCATATTTTAAAATCCCTGAAAACATTTCTTTCACCATTGACATATTAACTATGTTATTATTGGTGTTAATTTATCAATATTATAATTTAAAATTTGAGCTAAAATTCATTGTTATCTGCAGCTTTTTTTATGATTTTCGTAATTTCATCAGTTAGTGTTAAATACATTAAATTTACAGTTTTATTTTTATTTTTTATTATATTGTATTTCATCTAATTTTTATCTAAATATGAGTAATTACAACAGTTCACTTATAATTTCTTTTGGATTAATTATGACAAGGTTTTTTGTTTTTTTTTGTTGTTGTTTAATAACCTTTAAAAAATAACTTAGAAGTAGTTTCATGGTAGAGGCAAAAGTAGATTAATTTTGTTGCACATCTGGATGACAAGGTTGTTTATTTATTGTTGTTTTTTTATATATCTAGATAAGAAAAAATTCACTCCTTTTGGGACCCAATATTCATTGGTTCCTTTTTCTGGAAGAAGAAGATAGCTTACCCCTTGTGTGCACCTACACAGACAGAGACAACAACATCCTGATTGCTGTCCGACCAGCATCTGCAGAAGAATACATGAACGTTTACAAGGTACAGTACAACCCTCACTTCAGAAACTCAACTATACATCAGTTGGGCACGTGGTATGCCCAGAATAAGTCCAGTATAGACAAGGAGAATCTCAGAAGTTTCTCAGCTAAGACTGATCTCCAAGGAAGGACTCTGAAGGTTGCCCTGGAAAGAGTATGTGTTTAGAATTCTAACAGTGAGCATTCAGTGGATCTAAAATGATTGATTGTTAGTGTTTGTATCCTACTTCTGTTTTTGTATATATGACAAGCTACTAAGCCTATCTGCCGCCATCTGCAATTTTTAACTACTAACAAAAAGAAGACAACCAATCAGCAGCCCCTTACCACCAACCATACACGTTAAGGGAACGGCTGTAACTCTTATAACACACTCACAGCTTAAGGTAATGGTATCACACGGTAGATCCAACCCGCGTCACGGTACACATAGGGTGAAAACCGTAAAAAAACAAACAGATCTTCTTTTATTTCAATTCAATTTGTCTTATAAACGTTTTTATGTTTTGGTTTGGTTTGTTATGAATTTTGCGCAAAGCACACGAGGGCTATTTGCGCTAGCCGTCCCTAATTTAGCAGTGAAAGACTAGAGGGAAGGCAGCTAGTCATCACCACCCACCGTCAATTATTGGGCTACTCTTTTCCCAACGAATAGTGAGACTGACCGTCACATTATAACGCCCCATGGCTGAAAGGGCGAGCATGTTTGGTGGGACGTGGATTCGAACCCTACACTGAAACCTACTTGTTTTCCTACTTGTGACACAGCGGTATGTCTGCTGACTTACAACACTAGAAACCGTGGTGGGCAGAGCACAGATAGACCGTTGTGTAACTTTGTGCTTATCTTCAAACAAATAAACAATACTTCGCAAAACGACACCAGGTGCTATTAGGATATCGTTCCATCACTTTCAGTGTATGGTTATAGCTAATAAACACGTTGTAACTCAACATTATGCGCGTGCGAATAAGGTTCTTCCTCGAAAAGAAAAAAAACCAGCTGTTAGCGCGGCGCACTACAGATCTACGAAACGAACATAAAATTACGATCCGCCGTGAGTGCGTTTTAAGAGTGACTGTCAAATCCTACTATTCGGTTAGAGTATTCCAAAAGTTGGCGGTGGACTTTGTTGACTAGCTGCCATCCCTCTAGTCTATGAACTCAAAATTAGAGACGGATAATGCGCAGATAACAACTGCATAGCTCTTTACTGAAATATCAAAAACTAACTTTAAAGACATGACGTTAAGGAGAGCGTGAAACTTTCGTAGGCCTAATTTTAATAATTTGGAAAATATACTTACCAGCAAAATTTCGGTTGGTAGAGCTTCCAACAAAAATGAATGGCGTCGTTTTATTTAACAAAAACGCTTGTAACAGTATTATGCATGTAGTCAATTTTAAAAAAGAAACATTAAAGCTACAATATTCAGAAACACTAGTGTCGAGTAGTGTCAGTTATATGTCTGGAAAGATAATCCATTCTTAGATATTGAAGTCACGTGCTTCGTAACGTATTCATCGACTTATACAACGATGGACTCTCGGCCGTAAAACTGTAAAATGGACTATCTGTTATCTGTCCCCCTCTAGGAATCGAACTATAAATTTCAACATTGTAAGCCCGGAAACTTGCCGCTGATCTATCGGAAAACTACTGAATCGCACAGCGGTATGTCTGCGAATTTACAACACTAGAATCCGGGTTTTGATACCCGTGATGAGCAGAGCACAGATAGCCCATTTGGTAGCCTTGTGCTTAATTACAAACAAATAAACGAATTACGAAACTGTTTTTTTTTTGTTGTTGTTGTTGTTTTATTAGCTTAAAACTTGAAGATGTTACGGTGTAAAAAAAAAGGAAATTTTGAATTTAGTCTTGATCTCTGGCGTTTCAGAGGTAAGTTTATGGGCTTATAACGCCAAAACTCGGGGTTTGATACCTGCGAAGAGCACAGTGCATGTAGCCCATTGTGTAGTTTTGTGTTTGATTTATTTGTTGCTAAACGCAAAACTACACAATGGGCTATTTTTGTTCTGCTCACCACGGGTATAGAAACCCGATTTTTAACGTCGTAAGCCTGCAAACATACCGCTGATCCACTAGAAAGGTGCATAGCTTTGAACTTAATGACAAACAAAAACTGAGTCTTACACGTGACGAAACTCAAATATTCATTTTGAAATGTCAGAAACAAGAAGGGAAACGCTAAAGGAAAGAGTAACGTGAAGTTAAACTGGAAATAAACGTGAGATTTTAAATATATAACTGTGGAATGGAAGGTAAAAAACAAACACCTTTATTGTAAACAGATTTTAAAACACCGTGGTCATGCGTGACGAGTTTGCCGACTGGAATCGGAGTCTCGAGAGTTCTTTTATCTCTGTATGCAAAAGCTTTGCTCGAACAGCTCGACAAAGAATACTTAACTAAATTGTTTTGCTTTCTGCCTTTCTTCTGGAAACCAACTATTCACAAATTCAGCAACCCAGAGAAGATCTTTAGTGAAGCATTTTGCTTGTAATTGCTGTTGGTGTCCTCCGCGATTCTGCTGGGGCTTATGAGGTGTAATGGGGCCTTTGAAAGGGTGACTGAATTACATCCTTTAACCAATCTTTTTTAATTTCATCCAATTGTTTGGCACTAATGCTGATCATCGGTAGTGCATAATCCAGGATGGAGTTGATTTAGTACAGCTTAAGCAGATGGCGTTCTCATCTCTTTTTCCTGATGCAATTTTTATACCACTGATGGCTTTGTTAGCTTTGGTTATTATACTACCAATGTGACTGGTTAATTTGTACTCCAAAATGTCATCAGCAAAAGTTATCACGCGACATCTGGTTGGAATGTTAAAGCAGGTTAAGTCCGTGGTGTAGACATTGAAAATGACTTGTGATCCTAGAGGCTGACCGGTACTGATGGTGATCCAGTCTGAGTGCCAGTTTCAATGCTTCATTGTTGTACCTTCTGGTAGTTAGTGCAGCCATGACACATCTTACATGTATACCATTGAGAGTTTTGACAATAAGAATGGGCAACTGGATTCTATTGTAGATATCTTCCAGATCTAAAACTACTGCCAAACTTTTCTGACCACCTTCTAAATCTTCTCATGGATCACCTACTAGCTCAGTGTTGATTCGTTTTTTACTTCCACTGTGATAATCATCCAATGATAAGTGGTTCAACCTGATACCACAAGACGACAGTGATCCTTCAAGGGATTTGGTAAGAAACTGATAAAGACATTAGTCCATATAATGGGAATGTTACCTGTTGCCTAGCTACATTGATAGTCCATACAATAGGGATGTTATCTGTTGCCTAGCTACATTGATAGTTCATACAATAGAGATGTTATCTGTTGCCTAGCTACATTGATAGTTCATACAATAGAGATGTTATCTGTTGCCTAGCTACATTGATAGTCCGTATCATAGGGATGTTAGCTGTTCCTACATTGATACTCTGTCCCTATTATCGACAGGTTGTCTTCTATAAGTTTCTTAAAGGTAAAATTTCTTACATCACCTAGACCGTCTTTAGAGGTCTATGTGGATCTGTGTGTTTCATCCAACCTAAAGTTGGCTTTCGTATCTGCATGCGATCGTAGTATGGATAGCCACATTGGTTAATGTATGAATATCTTGCCTTATTCTTCATCTGTACGGAGTAAATGATTTGACATAACCATGTTTCTGTTCTATGTGTTAACTATAAGCTTGTGGAAATGATTGACTGTACAGTTCACTCCGTTTAATTAGTTACACTAAATAATCCCACTAAACGACAGTTTATTTAAATTACTCCTCTCCAAGAATGTCATTTTATTTTATAATTGTTCATTGATTGATAAGTAGTTTTCAAATTTCATAAAATGTGCAATACCAATCAATACGTTTTCAAACGTACATTTTATTTACATATATATCTATATATATATATACAATATTTCTTTTGTCTGACCATCTTGTTAGCATTTCCCTTTTTTTATACCTGCCAACGAAACCGGTGAACGAAACCCAAGTGGAGTAGATATTGAAGTTCTGAACGCCCTACAAGAAGTTTTTAAGTTTCGGTAAGTCCATTTATGTTTTCAAGCACTCCAAGAAAAACATAATAAAACACAGTACAATCTTAGCCACTAGTCGTGTTGTTAAGGTGAACGCAATCTAATACTATAAAACACAGTATGGTGAGGGGGCTCAACTCGCAATCTGTGGGTCGCTGACTCGAATTCCCGTCCCACCAAACATGCTTGCCATTTCAGCCGTGGGGGCGTTATAATTTGACGGTCAATCCCACTATTCGTTCGTAAATGAGTAGCCCAAGAGTTGGCGGTGGGTGGTAATGACTAGCTGTTTTCCTTCTAGCCCACCACTTCAAAATTAAGGACAATTGACGCAGACAAGCCCCTGAGTAGCAAAACTCCAAAAACAATAAAATTAATTTATCCTGTTACGATAATGTTTCGGATTTCCATATTTCAATTAAACAACACAAGAAAACCAAAATCCACAATCCACCTGGAAAAGTAAATTTACAACTAATTATTATCTTTGGTAGTTACGGAAATTTTGTTGATGTATTTCTTAGAACAAACCAGCTGACATTTCTGTTGCAGATATGAAATTCACAGACCTTCCGATGGTAAGTGGGGATCACCGGTATCCAATCGATCTTGGAATGGTATGATAGGAATGGTCCACAGACAGGTAGGAGATGAATCTCTTGTAGATAGAAAAAATATTGAGATAGGCTTAGATGTATAGTTAGGATAAGAGAAGAGGCTTAGGTGATTCGTTAGAGTAACAGAATAGGCTTAGGTGGCTCTATGGGATAACATGGTAGGCTTAGTTGACGGTTTGGATAACAGAATAGGCTAGATCACAAGTTAGGATAACAAAATAGACTTGGGTGGCTCTTTGGGATAACATAGTAGGCTTAGTTGACGGTTTGGATAACAGAATAGGCTAAATGACAAGTTAGGGTAACAAAACAGACTTAGGTGGCTCTTTGGGATAACATAGTAGGCTTAGTTGACGGCTTGGATAGCAGAATAGGCTAAATGACTAGTTAGGATAACAAAATAGACTTAGGTGGCACTTTGGGATAACATAGTAGGCTTAGTTGACGGTTTGGATAACAGAATAGGCTAAATGACAAGTTAAGATAAAATAATAAGCTGGATGACAAATTAGGATAAAATAATAGGCTTAGGTAACTCATTGGGATAACAAAATAGACTTAGGTGGCTCTTTGGGATAACATAGTAGGCTTAGTTGACGGCTTGGATAACAGAATAGGCTAGATCACAAGTTAGGATAACAAAATAGACTTAGGTGGCTCTATGGGATAACATAGTAGGCTTAGTTGACGGTTTGGATAACAGAAAAGGCTAGATCACAACTTAGGATAACAAAATAGACTTAGGTGGCACTTTGGGATAACATAGTAGGCTTAGTTGACGGTTTGGATAACAGAAAAGGCTAGATCACAACTTAGGATAAAAGAATAGGCTTAGGTAACTCATTGGGATAACAGAATAGGCTTATAGAGAAATTTAGTAAATTTTTGTTTTACTGGTTTCAGACAAGAGTTAATAATGTTGCTCTTGCGCACGCTAAAAGTAGTAAGAACGTGACTTAGAGATATTTGGTAAACATGGAGAGAAAAAGATGAAGACAAGCAGAAAATCGATAGAAGTTTGACTTGGTAACCAGGAAAGTCTTTTTTACACCTGAGATGTTTTTCATTTGGAGGAAAAGGGAGATCCAAGAGAGCCTTTGCGGGATCCTTCTCACAATCTTACAATGAACAATACTTCTGAGACCCCTCCATCCTAAATATCACAACATATTACCATCAATAAACCAATTATATACACTTTCAACTTGATATGTCTCGTTTTTACTGAGTAAGCGAAAAACGATGATTGGTAATAGAAAACGAATTCAGTTCAAGCAAAAGATGAGGGAAAATGAAGTTTTGATGATGATAAGGAAGTGTAACACTGATGCAGGAAGAGTTTCAGTTCGTTTGGAAATCATGCTTTAAATCGTAAGTTGTTTAGCATGTTGGAGCCGTGATATGCTGCTAAAAGCGATTCGCACGTCCAGCTGTGAGAGAATTGTAACTGTTATCGCCAATCCTGTTATTAGGTTAAGAGTAGCCATATAAAAGCGGGCTGACTGGTTGCTGTCCGTTTCGCCAGCAGTTCTAATTTGGAAAGCTATGCCTGAAATTTGTAGGTTTTTATCCTAGTCTTTTTAGCATAAGGCGTCGTTAAAATTTTAAAATGTTAATTCTGTCAATTCATGAAGATGATATAAAAATGGGTGGACTGTCACAACGTAGTATGAACATGATATAAAAATGGGTGGACTGTCACAAGGTAGTATGAACATGATATAAAGATGGGTGAACTGTTACAAGGTGGTATGGACATGATATAAATATGTATGGACTGTCACAACGTAGTATGAACATGATATAAAGATGGGTAGACTGTCACAAGGTAGTATGAACATGATATACAGATGGGTGGACTGTTACAACGTAGTATGAACATGATATAAAGATGGGTGGACTGTCACAAGGTAATATGAACATGATATACAGATGGGTGGACTGTTACAACGTAGTATGAACATGATATAAAGATGGGTGGACTGTCACAAGGTAATATGAACATGATATACAGATGGGTGGACTGTTAC